TTTTTAAAGGGCAAATTATTCTTAAAGAAAGAAGTGAGGTAGGATTGGGAGCACTTGAATATTACATAGCAATTCTGAAGTCAACTTGTTTATTAGGAAATTCAGAAAACAAACAATAGCCCCTTGGGTCCTTGAAAGGGCCTACAACTGCACCTGAAACATGCAGTTGTAAACTTGCAATGATGTATAACTGTAACCCACAAGGTTAGAAAAAGCATTTGACGGTTTTAAAAGTTCTCCACTGTAAGGCACTAGAGTCTGAAGTCAGCCCTTTGGATATATAGCATTTGAGAAACTACTTACGGTGGCCAAAGTGTATAAGTTAGGGAAGGTTTTTGTCGGGTACACAGGTCTCATGTAGGGAGAATGTGTGCCGCAAGACCCTGGAAACAGAATTCCAAGTATTACAATAAGAGAGCCCACAAGAATCAGGTATAGAAATCAACTTCTAAACTACCAAAGGCATGCAGTACCTTCATTTTTGCATTTCATATACTAAAGTACATTGAAAACAATGTGTCTGTAGACCTCAAAGTCCCATCACAGAATGGCTCGTACATAGGTCATGGATTAGAGGAGTGAACACAGATTAGGAAAATTACTTACTTAGTTTCTCAATGTTAGGCATGACCTTGCTGCCTTTCTTCATGTATGATGCACGGAAACCATCCACAGAAAAGATGATTAATGGTGGACGAACAAACCTTAAACAGTAACAGCAGTAAACTTTAGAAAATTATTACCACAGAATCTCCATTACTCCTAGTCATCCTCAATAATAGGACCAGTAATCTCTAACATGGACTTTCTAGTGCAACATCTGTACAATCCTGAACTTCTGTCCACAGAGCATTAAGGCTACTGAAGTCTAGAGATGAAATGGCCAGTCATAAGATACCCCAGGGAAGAGACTTGGCTCTATAGATTTCCTCCACTACTGCCTTTGGCCTTGTAAACAAGTTTGTTCACAATATGAAAAATGGTTACATTTTGCCTAGAGTTAAGTATTCTCCCAATTAACAGCTGGTTCATGCCTTAAAACCCAATTCAAGGTTTCTTCTTCAATAATAGTTGTTGTCTACTACTAGTAATGCCTTTAACTATTCATTCATGCCTCTTTCATGGTGCTATGGGACTGCAAAGTTGATGTGAACTACAAGGTTGGCGGTTCAAGCTCATGAGCTGCTCCTTGGAAACCCTCTACAAGGTTGCTATGAGTCCGAATTGACTAGACAGCACTTAACAACAATTATCTGTTGGCATGTTTCTCTTCCTGGTGAGTTTCAAAGCACAGTTTATATCTTATTCATCTTTCTGTGCTGGGAACTGCTAGTATGAGTTCAATAAACTTCAAATACATTAATAAATGGATGATGGATGAGTAAACGAATCAATGAATGAATATGGAATTAACAGCAGTAATACTTTTATCATTACATCTAAACACAAAAACTTCCTCTAAATTTATTTATAAAATAATTAAATTTATTGAACATGACTAAAAAGCATATTAATAAAGATCAAGAAACCCTATAGAGGGTCGCTATGAGTCAGAACTGACTCGACAGCACTTAACAACAACAACAATCATTTAGTTAGGCCAGGATCTGATGCAATAGGCCCTTTAATACATCCTCAAGAGTTCAATCAGACTGGAGAATATCAAATATATGAAGAATTATTTCTAATAAATAGAAGCTAATTCATCAAGTATTCTTGTTGTTACTAAGTGTCATTGAATCTGTTCCAAGCCATAGCAACCCTGTATAGGGTTTCCAAGGAGCAGCTGGTGAGGTTGAATAGCCGAACTTGTGGTTCAAACTGACTTTGCAGTCCAGCACATTAACCCACAGTGCCACACCAAGACTCCAGCAAGGATAGGTTTGCGTTTATTCAAAACCATATAAAATGTTTAAGCCAGTCACTTAGAACAATACTACAGAAGAGTTTATTAATATCATTAGAAGCCCTGATGGTACAGTGGATTATACATTGGACTACTAACCACAAGGTCAGCAGTTCAATTCACCAGTTGCTCCATGAGAGAAAGATGAGGCTTTCAAATCCCATAAAAATTTACAGCCTCAGAAACCCTTTATAGAGTCTCTGTAAGTTGGAATAGACACAATGACACACAACAACATCATTTGCAAGGCTTCTACAACACAAAATATATTTTCCTAAAAAAAAAAAATACATCTTTAAACAGTAATAAATTATTGCCATTTTACCCTTCAGACACAAGCCCAAAAAATTCCAAGTAGTTAACTGAGTTAAAGGGGTGCAAATATAAAGACAATATCAAAATACTTGGATTTGACGTCCAAGACTGTGCTTTCTAAAACAAAACAAAATAGCTGCCACAAGGGAAAAAAAAAAATTGTTTTTTTTAATGCATGAATGAAAACTCATTTGTTGAAACTGCCTGGCATTGTAAGGGTCCATGAATTGTCATGTATTTCCTGGTAGGTGTAGTAAGTGCCTTATGCTGGTCACACTCGGGCTGTGGGGTGTCAGTCAACTTTGGCTGCCCCCAACAAGGCAGTGCTTCAGGACCTCAGCAAGTTTCTACCGCCTCTGGTAGGCGTTACCATGTTAGCGAGCATGCTTTAGAAGTCATAGCTACCACCACCCCACCCCAAAATAAAAGGGCAAAAAGCAGCCCTCCAGAAAACAGCAATGAAAAACTATCAGTGCAAGAAGCATTCCTCCTTCAGCGATATGCAGACACGTTTTGTGCAATGCCAACTGAGGTAGGGTAGACGAATATGCCGACTCCAGAGTGTGTCTCAAAGTTGCTTTCCCACAAGTGTTGGAGTAGAACTCCACACAATTTTTTTTTCAGTGGTTGATTTTCCAGATGCAGATTGCCAGGACTTTATTCTGAGAGGCCTCTTGGTGGACTCAAACCTTCTACCTTTCAGTTAGTATTCAAGTCCATTAACCACTTGTACCACCCAGGGATACCACATCAGTGACAGGAGAAAATGAAAAACTATGGCTTTTCCCAGCTTTGAACTGATGACCTCACCAGTGTGCACGAGTTTGTACGTGAGCATATCCGTTTCTCCGTGTTTCCAACCACTTACCCATCCATTTCTTGTGAGCTTTTAAGTCTATCAACTAATATAAAAATCATCAGAATATTCATAAAATATATTTACCCGGCAGGGCATTCCGGAGTCTTGATTTCTTCACAGTCATCATCTACCCAGTGTGACTCTCCTAGACAGAAAAAAGGAGGCACTTAAAATTGCTACACAGAACCCTGAAGCGCACACTCTGGGACAGGGTTCCTGCTTTGTGCTGCTTATGGGACATTAGCTAATAAGAACTTCTGAAATAAAACCTAGCTGTCTGTTTTAGCTTCCTAAAGTACATACAGCCATATAGGGTGGGAAAGCTATGATTTAATAACCCAAGTAGTATTTATGCAAGGCTTTACAGTCTAAATGGCTGTAGATTAATATATATATATATATATATATATGGAGCTCTGGTAGAGTAGTGGTTATGAATCGGGCTGCAAACCTTAAGGTCAGCCGTTTGAAACTACCAGCCTCTCCATGGGAGAAAGATGAGGTTATCTACTCCCGTAAAGATTTACACCCTCGGAAACCCTGTACAGTGTCACTATGGGTCAGAACCGACTCCACTTAACAACAACAACAAATATATATATATATATATATATATATATATACACATACAGCAGTAGTTCCGGGGACAACTTAGCCAACTGGAATAACATAGTTTACAAAGGTAATGTATAGTCAATGGTTGATCCCAAGCTTTCAAGACCCCATATCTTAGTTTGGTGAATGTGGGGGTCTTGAAAGCTTCAGACCAACCGTTTACTATACAAATATTGATCTCTACTCATATGGATCAAAAGAGAATGAAAGAAATGTAAACTCAAGGAAGAAACCAGCCCACATGAACCTCAGCCTCCCCAAATCTGAAAGCAGAACATGACGTTGCCAACTGTTTTGACCAGGGTCACAACAGAAGTTCCCAGAAAGAAGGGGAGAGAAATGTGGGAAGAAACTCAAATTCCTAAAAAAGACCAGAGATAGCACTTAACAACAACAACTCCACTGACAGAGATTAAAGGAACCCCTGAGCCTATTGTCCCCAAAGACCTGGGAACTTAGAATTGAAGCTATTTCTGCTGGTCATCTTTCAACGAAATATTAGATTGGCTTATATAATAAACAAGATCACCCATAGGTAATATGCTTTATGAAATAGCTAACTATCTGAGACCATATGGCCAACGGTTACCCAGAATCAAAGATGAGAGGACAAGGAGGAAAAAGGAAGCTAGATCCATGGAAACAGAGCAAACATAATGAAAATAATAAGATTGCTAACACATTGAAAAAACTGCAACGGAACAATATGTATAAAAATTGTTAAAGGGGAACTTAAATTGCTATGGAAACTTTTACCTAAAGCACAATAAAATAATATTTAGAAACAACAACAAAATATAGCAGTGGCTTCAGTGAGCAAGAGTTCACATTACTATCTTTCCAGAAATAAATTGGTCATTAGTTAGAACAATTTTCTTGGCCACTAAGAAAGCAAGAGTCCTGGTGTGGCGCTGTTAGTTAATGCGCTGGACTGCAAAGTCGGTTTGAACCACGAGGTCAGTGGTTCAAGCTCACCAGTCGCTCCTTGGAAACCCTATACAGGGTAACTAAGGATTGGAACTGACTCCACAGCACTTAAAAACAGCAACATATCAAAGCCTTAGGCAGCCTGGTGAAACTTTCTTCTTGATGGGAAAAGGAGGCTTAGTATACAGGGACAGCAGATGGAAGATTACAATAGGAAGTTCCTTTGCAAGTGAATCCTGCATACAGTCTTTGAATTTTGGAATAAAAACCAGTGTTGTCTTTCACTTTTCTCTTCCACTGATATCTGAGAGTGTAAACCTAAGTCTTTCACAAGTTATTCCCGGTTAGATAGAGAACAGAAAAGAGCTGAAATTTTTAAATAAGCCTTCCTTTAGAGGAAAATAATGAAAATTACCATACATACACCAAAAAAAAAAAAATTGCCATAAATTGTCCTAAGGTGAACAGAAATCATGTCTAGAGTGGAAGGAAATTTTATGTATTTGTAATGAGTATTGGAAATAAGACTTGGACTATCGATGACTGTGTAAGCAATTACTGTGCTCCTTAAAAGGAGACCTGATGGTACAATAGTTAAAGCACTATGCTGCTAACCAAAAGCTTGGTGGTTCGAACCTACCAGCTGCAGAAAAAGAAAGATGTGCCAGTCTGCTTCCATTAAAGATTTACAGTCTTAGAACCCCTATGGGGCAATCTACTCTGTTCCATAGGGTTTCTACAATCCGCTGGAATCAACTCAATGGCCATTGGTAAAAGGGGAAAGTTTGGTCACACAGGAAGTAATCCAAGGCAAACACACTGGCCTCACAAAAGCACTGGAAACTAGAATTTAAAATCAGAAAAGGCCAATTCAATGACTGATGATAAGTAAGTTTTCTCCTCGTTTATATTTTATACCCTTTGTGGCTTATTGGCACTGCTGTCCCGGTGTGGTGCTGCAGGTTAGTGTGCTGGACCGTAAGGTCAGTTTGAGCCTCAAGGTCAGCAGTTCAAACCCACCAACTGTTCCTTGGAAACCCTATACAGGGTCTGAGTCGGAATTGACTCAACAGCACTTAACAAGAACAACAGCAATTCAAAGGGAGGAGCCCTGTGGGTACTGTAGAATAAGCACTGGACTGCTAATCACAAGGCCGTCAGTTCAAAACCACCAGCTTCCCTGCGGGGAAAATATGGGGCTTTTGGCTATCGTCAAGATTTACAGCCTCAGAAACCCTACACGGGGTCACTATCAGTCAGAACCAATTCAGCAACACACATAACAATGTTCATAGTGAAGTGTGAAAAAAAGGATATAAATTCTCACTTTATTCCTTATCAATAAGTATAATAATGATTTTGTTGTCATTAAGTGCTGTTGAGTTGGTTCTGACCCATAGCAACCCTGTATATGGTTTCTGAGGAGAAGCTGGTGAGCTTGAACCACCAACTTTGCGGTTCAAATGGCTTTGCAGTCTGGTGCATTAACCGACAACGCCATTTGGGTAGGTGGAAATTTCCAAATTGAGAATACAACTGACCACTGCATATAGTTCACAGTTGACTTGCTTTCCCCCTAAAATCCTGTAACAGAACATCTTCTGAGGCGTTCCATGTCACTTTTGCAGTACCACAGAAAGGAAGAAGGACTTAATTCAGAAACCAAGAAGGGACTTAATAAACTTTTCATAAGGGTTCTTGGGTCTTTCCTTTAACTTCTGCAAATGGATGCCACAACAAATTCCTTAAGGATAGGAACTGCTCTTTTGTGTTTTCTGCAGAGCACTAATTATAACTTATTATGAGAATAAAGGCATCACATGTTATCATCAATCATGCAAAACCAACACACATGCATGTATGGCTTTGGGGTATACCAGGAACCGCTGGTGCCTGGTTCCTTTTACCAGCAACCCCTGGGCTGTAGCCCAGGCCTCAGTTAACAGCTAACATCCCCTGGGTATGAAAGCTATGCTCCTTGCTCCAAAATAACAACTTATCAAGAGCCCACAGGGGAGCCAGCCAAGCTGAGACTACCTGGAACCAGGGTTTTATTCCTGCCCACCTCACACACTCCACTTCCACATCCCATTTCTTTGGCTTAGTTACATGGTTTTCCTCAATAAACGAAATGCACTGAATCCTTGCCTCAGGCTCTACATCCAGGGAATCCAACCTAAGACCAAGACAGGTAGTCTTTAAGACCTCTTATTATTTGGGTTCCATCAAAGTATAGAATTAGGTTTATCTTCTTATTTCAGATCATGAACTGTATGTAGAGTGGCAAAATTAAGAAGCATGAGACATTAAAAAGCACAACTTGGTCCCTCTCCCAGTAATCCCTATCAATATGGCATATGCACCAGGGTCTCTTGAAGTATCTCTAGCTTTTGTTCTTTCAAAGTTCAAGTCATTCTGGAAAAGCACATACCTTTGCAAACCACTTGATAATTAGTACAGCAGTCTCCCCTGGCCAAGCAGTCCTCGGAGCAGTGACAAGCATTGTCTTCATTTCTGACTTCTCCGCATCTGTCCTTAGTACACTCCCAGCCACGTGCTAAAACCATCACAATAAAACACTTTCACTACTGCACACAAACCAAATGAAAGAGGCCACAACTGCTTGCAAGTGTGGCCAATGAAAAGAACTAGAATTCCACATCATTTAATCTGCTTGTGAAATTTGAGTTGCCCTGAGGCCTAGAGAACATTTGGAGGACTTACAAACAGAACAAATTTCTGATTTATCAACTTCAGAGCACAAAGTCAAAGTGCAATTTAACTCCTTTAGAAAAATGAACTTTAAAATGCACGAAAGTATCCCTTCCATTCCTGAATTGTTCTGAAGGACTCAATAAAGGCTTGTGATAGAGTTATCTGTCTTGATAGGGATCGTCTCTGTAGTTTGACTTTTTTATTTTCAGAAATAGCTTCATTTAACTTTAATCAGCTTTGATTTAAATACAAAAAATGGGGCAACCTGTTATAAGATGTATGGAGGTTAAAGACCTCAACAGACCTAAAATATCTAATAAGGCATCAACTGCCAACCACTGACCAAAATGTGTGTGTGACGCAAGTCAGCGTTCCTACAATACAATCACACAAGGCTAGTGTGTGGGTTACAGATTTCTGTCTGAGCATAGCTGATTGGTAACTCACAACTCAACCCTATCAGGAAGCTACGTTTAGAGAACTAGCACTTCATTTTAAGGAAAGTGCTGTATTTGTTGTCTAATGTTTTTACCTCCTAGCCTATGAGCTCCATAACATTAGAAAATACAGCCCTCGTTTCATCATTTTATCTTCAGTGCCTGAGATTGTACCTAGCACATGCTACATGCTCAATTAATATTTAGTAAAGGCCATTGAAAATTAGCAAGACAATAGAATATGTTTCTTTGAATTCAAGATTGCTGTATTGAGAAAATGCATAATTAAGTCATTCACTTAATAAATATTTATGCAGCGTCTTCTATCTTCCAAGTACAGGAGGTGTATCACAGAATGATACAAACAAGTTGACTGTCTTCAGGAAGCTTACACTTCAATTGGAAAAGACTTCCTGTAAGCTAGAAAACCAATAAACAAAATAATTTCAGACTCTCCCAGGTGCTTTGTCAGAAATAACAAGGCAGCATTGATAGAACACAATGAGGTAGGGGTGGAAGAGAAAGAAATAATGACCAGAGCTAAAAAGAACTGTCTTTGAGTAGACCTGGTGTGGGGACACTTCATCGCAAGATATGCTCAAGATGAGTAATCTTTCAAGACTAAAACCCACAGATGACACAGTCCAAACAGGGTGTCAACACGTGGTTATACACAGCGCAAGTCTTTTTGCCATTTACCTGAGGCTAGGGAGAAGCAAAAAGTTACATACCTGTCTTCAAACAATGTTCATCAAAGTCATGGCAGCAGCTGCTATAGCTCTTACACAGGTTGTCACACCGACAATCAGGGGGTTCCAGCTCTTGAAGTTCATAACATCTGCCCTTGCACGATCCAGAGGTGCTGATCCAGGGGGAATCTGATAAAACTGCAAGGAACAAGAGGACAGGCAATGGGACTGGGGAAGGTGATCTACACACTTAGAAATCTATACCTTTCTGTACAGGGGATTGAACTCACATGCTAACAGATGATGCTGAATTTATGGGAATGGGATAAAAGACGTCAGATCTCTTCCAACTGTAAAATCTACACATATTGCTAGGGTTATTGAGACACAAATGTCACAATCTCAACTTATAAAGAATAGCTCTTCTATTGTTATTTTCACATGCTGTAATTTATATATCAAGAAATACCCAGAATCCACTAGAAATTTTGGAAATAGAAATTCAGCGAGGTGAAGACTTCACAAATATACAAGAAATACCAGTACAAAATGAAAAGCAAGTTTCATTCACAATAGTACACAAAAGGTAACTATCTTGATATAAATTTAATAAGACATACATACAACACATTAAAATTCTACCAGAGAACACACTAAAAGATATAATAAAGTAAAAAATATATATGTATATATGTTATTGTTATAGTTATGTGCTGTGGAGTCAGTTCCGACTCATAGCGACCCTGAACAGGGTTTCCGAGGCTGTAAATCTTTACGGGAGCAGAAAGCCTCATCTTTGGTCCACGGAACAGCTGGTAGTTTTGAACTGCTGACCTTGAGATTAGCAGCCCGATTCATAACCACTACACTACCAGAGCTCCTTATATACATACACTATCTTGGAAGTAAATATGTCAAAATGGTAAAAATACCAATTCTTCCTAAATAAAGATGCAATACAATCACACGGAAAACAAGTTTTGCTTGATGCTTGCTCTTTGTCAGGATATTAACTCCTTTTCAAGAAGATTTCTTAAAACTTTAGTGCATATTAAAAGTGAATCATAAATAAATATATGAAAACAGAAAAAAGCAATAAGAAAAAGTAATTTGACAGAAACTAGAAAGTAAAATATATTTGGAAGTTAAATCATCTTTTTGTTGTTGGTAAGTGTCATCAAGTCAGTTCCAACTAATAACAACCCTGGGTAAAATTTCTGAGGATGTAAATCTTTTACAGGAGGAGAAAACCTCATCTTTCTCCTGCAGAGCAGTTGTGGGGCTCGAACTGCCAACCTTGTGGCTAGTAGTGCAGTGCTGTTGTTGTTGTTGTTGTTAAGTGCTGTGGAGTCGGATCTGACTCACAGCAACCCTGTACAGGGTTTCCGAGGCTATATATCTTTATGGGAGCAGAACGCCTCATCTTTCTCCCGCAGAACAGCTGGTAGTTTCGAACTGCTGACCTCTCGGTTCACAACCCGATTCGTAACCACTACGCTATCAGAGCTCTACTGGAGATTAAATAGGTTAATTCAAGGGATGGGTACAAGAAATAGATGCATATATAAGAATTTATTTTATAATAAAAAATCACATTTCAAATCAGAAGAAGAAAGAAGGATGAATTGGAACTTCTAGGGTGGCACATAAGCTCAGGACTCCCAAGTTTGGTTTGAACCACAAGGTCGGTGATTCAAACTCACCTTGGAAACCATATGCTTGTCACTAAGGGTTGAAATCAACTCAAAGACACTTTACAACAACAACAACAGACTAGACTACCCGGATGAATGAAAATAATTAGGTTGGATCCTCAGCCCAGTTTACAGGATCATGATTAATTTATGATGGTTAGAAAAAGAGCAACAGTGTCCGACCTATTGCTAGGAATGGGAATTTTTGAAAAACAGAGCACAATCTGGAAATACCTATCAGCATGTTAAAATGTCTATGGATCTTTGTGGTAGTGTAAAGGATTAAGAACTGAGCTGCTTACCACAAGGTAAACAGTTCAAATCTTCCAGTCACTCCATGAGAGAAAGATGAGGTTTTCTGCTCCAGTAAAGATTTACAGCCTGGGAAACCCTATCCCGGGTCACTACGAGTTGGCACCAACTCCATGGCACACCATCACCACCACCACCGTGTAATTTTAAGAATTACTTTGCTAAAAATGTATCTCTCATGTATACTTATAAAAGATCGCTAAACTATAGTTTAAAAATATATTTATTGCAGTCTTTCTGTGATGAGGGAAAGGAACCTGAAACCAACCAAAGTTATTTACCTCTGTCAAGAAAGAATGATTATATTCAGAAGTTGACTACTGTCTAGCCCTTAAAAAGAATGTCAGAACTGTGTACGCTAATAGGCTAATATCTGTCATTGTGCTTGTTAGGTGACTGTGGAGTCAGTTGCAACTCATAGTGACCTTACACACAACTGAACTAAACTGCCTGGTCCCGTTCCATCCTCACAACCATCATGACGACTGAGCCCCTTGCTGCTGACACTGAGCCAATCTACAAATATATAAATTTTGTGGAAATATCTACAAAAAGCTATAAATAAGAGTGTGTGTTTTTAAGAACAAAGTGCAGGACAGTGTGACAGTAGTAAACATATATTTTGTGTCCAAAATAGAAATAAAGATAACACTACAGATAGAGATGATGACAGAATTAAAAACAGATCTAACTCTAGAGCTACAGATGAGAGAAAAGGTGGGGAAGGAAGGGAGGAGGAATGGAAGGGGTGAGAACAGATACAGGTGTGCAAAACTTTGTAAGGTGCAGGTGTGAACAACCTGTTTTTCATCCATAAGAAACTGGTGGCAGAAATTACCTTTGGGAAGAAGACACTGGGACGGGGGAAGCAAAGAGACTTTTATTTCTTCATGTTGGCATTTCTGTGGTTAAAATCTTCTAACTTTTACATGTTACTTTATAAAAATAGTCACTGAGTTGTCCCAGTGTCTTTTTTTTCTTCTTGATTCTTCATTTCTCTGTCTCTCTCATTGGTAGGTATCAGCAAGTTGAGTTTTGAGTCATAGCGACACTAAGGGTTTTCCAGAGTAACGCTGGTGTGGTGCTGTGGGTTAATGTGATGGACTGCAATGTTGGTTTGAGCTGCAAGGCCGGAGGTTCAAGCCCACCAGCCCCTCCTCAGAAACCCTATATACAGGGTAGCTATGGGTCAGAACCGATTTGAAGGCACTTAACAACAACAATATTTATAGAAGCAGATCACCACGTCTTTATCCCACAGATAAAGCTGTAAACTTTTCAGATAGTAGCCAGGCATTTAGCCATTGTACTATTAGGACGCCTTCTCCCTTTGGCAGATACATACGTTAACGTGTATTATATACAAATACCCTAACATGTTATTTATGATGTGATGTTTATAATGTGTCATTTACATGTTTATATATATATTTCAATCACTAGTAGTACTGTCTTTAAAATCAACTGGGGGGGGGGGACTGAAAGCTGGGGAGAACAGATGTGAAATGATATTTCTAGGTTCACACAAGTCATTTAAGTGAACAGCCTGTTCATCTCTGAGTTCTATGTCCTTATTAATGTCGGAGGTACCCTTTTGCTTTTATGGTCTCAGATCAGTTCATCTACAGCAAACAGAGTCACTAGACCATGAGATGTGAAACTTTTCCCATGGTTGATTTGAGGATGTGGAAATACAAACAATACTGCATCAGTTGAGTTGAGGAAATAACATCAGGTTTCTAATGCAGTGCCTTGCCTCTGAACTCTAAGTCATATTTTTCTATTGACTTTGGCAAATATATCAACAGTGTACACGTGTAAGTCAAAAAGTATTGCTACTAGGGCTCCAGTATCTATATGCACGGGTTTATTCCAATTAAGACATGTCTTGATGATCAGTGGATGACTGCAGACAAGCACTGGAATACTTGTACACTTAGTCTCATTGGTGGTGGTGGTAGTGCGCTGTGGAGTCAGTTCTGACACACAGCGACCCATGGCTGTGAATTTTGACAGCAGTAGCAAGCCTCATCTTTCTCCAGCAGAGTGGTGGATTCAAATTGCTGAACTTACAGTTAGTAGCCCACCTCATATCCCAGAAAGCTACCAGGGCTGTTTCTTAGGCTCATTTTAGTGATGTTGTTAAGTGCCATCAGTTGGTTCCAACTCATAATGACGGTCCTAATCTTGCCCCTTTCAGGCTTCTTCTTGCTTCCCAAACTCAAAGAACATGTAAAAACAACATGACTTGAGCCCTTCAAGAATGCCAGAACTGCCATTTTGACGTGGTGTAAATCAGCGTACAGAATTCTTCAGGGAATGCTTAGAGAGATAGAAGCACCAGCTTCAGGAATGTATGGATCTACATGGAGGATGTGTTGAGAAACTATCACTTCACACGTTGATATTTTTGTTTAATAAAGGTTAAGATTTTGTAGCAATACTTTTGACTTACCCTGATATGCATGGATCATAAGAAACTATGAGGAAGGAGAGGTTGTTGTTGTTGTTAAGTGCTGTCGAGTCGGTTCTGACTCATAGTGACCCTGTATAGGGTTTCCAAGTTGCTGCTGGTGAGCTTGAACCACTCGCCTTGTGGTTGAAACTGATCTTGCAGTCCAGCACATTAACCTGCAGCGCCACATTAGAATCATTCCAATGACTGCTACTAAATTCTGAGTAGAACTCATTTCCCTGAGTTGTACATATAAATCTGCTGAGCTATACTTATAGCTGAGACAACACGAGAGCTAAAGATACATGAACACCTGGTATGGTACTGCAGGATCAGCACTGGACTGCTAACCACAAGGTTGGCAGTTCAAACCCACCAGCTGCTCCTCAATCTATAAAGGTTGTCATGAGTCAGAACTAACTCAACAGCACTTAACAGCAGCAACACCATAGGCACATTAGTTTACTGGTCCTGTGCTGCTTCTTCATAGTGTCCCAGCACACATTTGAAGTTTTCCTCATCACTTCAGCTTTGCTTCCTCCTCATCATAATTGCTTCCCTATGTCTGCCTTTACTTTCAATCTCTCTACAATTTTTATCCAATTCACTGGTCTTTCTTCATCCAGTTCAAACCTACCAGACATTCCTCAGGAGAAAGGATGCCAATCTGCTTCTGTAAACATCATCATTGTTGTTAAGTGCCATTGAGTCAGATCCGACTCATAGGGTTTCTGAAG